GCAGCTTAAAACTCAGGCTGAACCAGGAATGTTCTTCACACGTAAGGATATCTAAAGGACTGTGTGAAACGATTTCTGCCTAAAAATACAAATAAAGTGGCTAAAAAAGAGGCTCAAACATATTATAATCCAGACATACATGAAAATGTCCTTCAAATTCCAGAACACCCAAAAGACAAATCAGCCAAACATAAGTTGTGTTGTCTTTGTCACACAGTGATGATTTTGCAGACTTTTTTTTAAAGAAACCAAACGATAGCTCCAGTAGCTCATAGCATAGTACGGGAGTGTCCAGTTTTTAAGGCTAAGACTCAGCAGTTCACCTCCATCTTCGGGAAATGGAACAGGCAGATAGTTTTGGAGATGAATCAAGGTAGCCGTTGATATTAAGAATGGAAAAGTCTGAGGTATTGCCTTCTCTGCCCCTATATTCCAGCAGTGGCTCCGAAACACTCACACCTCAGGTCCTGTGACTAAAACCTGCTCTCTTACTCTGGAGATGAAAATTACTTAAATGACACACACATTGGTCAAGTGGCTGAGTCACACTTCTGACCATAATGATCTGCCAAGTATGACCAACACCTCTCTGCTTGGAAGCCGATACTCCCCACCATGTAATGTGGGGCTCAAGAAGCCTTTTGGGTTAAAGGTAAAATATTTCCCAGAGCCAGGAAGATGTCCGGTGGTTTTAGTCTAGTTTTGACCTAGATTTCTGAGAAGCTACACCAGCAAGATTCACTCAACATGTGATGAATGATCATAATGGGATTTGAGACAAATGGTTAAAGCTATATTCAGTCTATTCAGAAGTACTCCTTGGTTCTCTTGTTTATTATTTATTGCAAATATAGGGAGAAATAATGATAAAAATGTGAATTCTTCAAAAGTATCATGGATGTTTATTGATATGTAGAAATAATGTCAGTCTATATTCAGTAATTCAACTACTGTTACTGACACTTTGGTTTAATTGTGAACAGTTTGGATCAACTCTGAAGCTCACTGATGGATCACAGTGTAACTGTAATCATAAGTGTCAGCTTTAGTAATGTGGCATGTATTTTCCAGCTTTACCACAATGAGTAAAAAGTGTGATTTTTTTAGTTGTAGATATAATGCTCTGTGACGGGCATCTGTCAGGTTTGCTTTCTCTCTCAGATCTTTTTGTTTTATGCAATTGACTGAGAAAAACCTGAGAAGTGGTACTAGAGGCTTGCGCTACCAATTAGAATGTGAGCGCAAGCAATTGAAGGAAACTAAAAAAAAAAAAAAAAAGAATTCACAAGGAAAATGCAGAACTTGTTGATAAAAGGTAGCAAAAGCACACTTTCATCTGTTGTGCCAACATAATTCAAGCAGGTGTCTTTTAGATTGGAGAGTCTTTGCCACGCAGCACCATGGTCTCAGACTGATTAGTTTTAACTCTTCAGAAATGTATTTTCAGCTGCCATTCACATGTCAGTCATCTACTCCACCAGTCTTCAATAAAGTCCCCGTAGATAATGGGAGGTAAACACATCCCTTTGTTTTGATATCCTGTGGATGAAATGCATTTCTCACAGACTTAGAGAAAAGGTGAAAAAAAGATGCATTACTTTCATCATGAAAACTTGAGCTCCTCTGATCAGAAAAAAATCTTATACTTCACTTTACTTAGTGCATTGCTAAGATCTTATTTTCCTTATTTTTTCTAAATTATTTCACTGGAATTTGCCATAAAGATGCTATTTTAATCATTATCCACTTTCTATTTTTACAGTTATGGAGGGAAATGCATTTAAGAAAGCCAAAGAGTGGCAGAGAGGCTACATAAAAAAGGGAATGATTTGGATTTCTAGATTCAATCTACTGAGATGCACATCATGAATAATTTGGCTTTCATGTTTTCCAGATCAATGCAGCCTGAGAGAGAAAATAATTTGAATTTGAATAGCAGTTTTTTAATAAAAGCATTTAATGACCACAGTAGTCAAAATGTCTTTATAAGCTAACAGCAGTAATATTAAGTGGAAACTTGGGGATAAAAGTTTTCAAAGTTTAGTGCTTAAGAGCCTAACTCCTTGAGCTGTTTAAAAGTGCTGAGTGACCTGAGTGCATTACATGTTAAATTGCCAATGGGGGGGGAAATTCTAATTACTCAAAAACCAGATGCACTTCAGATTTTGGTATGCTCTGATTTCCAAATAAGACTCTTTCTCCAAGTCTTACCTTCGAAACATAATTGGCATATTATAAGTTATTAACTATAAGAAATGCCTTTTGTGCTGGTTTGTGTAGACAATTTCTTTTTATAATACATTTATTCAAATGATCAGTCACGGATTTTCTTATTTGTGGCAACATTTTGACAGTCCTACATCATTTCTAGATCAATGTTGTAGCTTGTGTAAATATATACTATGCCAAGTCTTTTTTTTTTCTTAAAGACTTTTCATCTCGTAATTGCCTTCTCCCCTATTCAGATTTAAGTGAGTAACATTTCACTGTATTAATCCAAGAAATTCTTGGATAGTAATGTTTCGCATTCGTCAACACTTTTTTTTTCCACCCATTATTTTTAAAGTGGTAACCAGCATAGCAGCATGAATCTTGCACGGGAAGTCAATGGCTAAATTAGCTGGTTGACTGACCAGAGGTGAAATTACATTCATAAGGTGGAGTAGACTGCTGCTGGACATTAGTGGATATATGCTTGTAGCAGAAATTTAGGTGGACCGTTGTAAAGTAATAACTCTAATTCTGGCTTTTAAATCATGAACTTTTTTGTAAGAATTGATTATCTAGCTTTAGCCAGTAATGGGAATCAATATTCTTAAATGTTTGGCTCTAAATTCAGAGACAACAGGCAGACATAGGTCACAGTGTGTGACACACACATATTGCGACTAATTTGCAAATGACGTGCTAAGTTTTTGTCTCTACACTTTGTTGATCGTGTTTCATATTAAGACAATCTAGCAACTGATTAACTACCTGATTCAACTGGATCTTTGACTCCGTATGTAATTACAAGCTTGATATTTACAACAGAAAGGACAGTCTGCTCTCATCCAGTCAGTCCTGCAATCAAAAGCGGCTCTCTAATTGGAAATTCATTTACTGGCTCAGGTTTTGATTAGACGTGGCCTTAAGACCTCCCCCATTCAATATGTTAATATCTACTGAATGTGTATAGAAAATGAATTTAGACTGAATTATTTTCTTTTCTGTTAGACACGGGTGTTTATTTTGCAGTTTATTCACTGAGCTTTTGTACAAGTACATCAATCTGTGCTGTGTGCAGGCCAGTTGTTTTTGTGGTCATGCTGCCTTCAAACGGATGTGCCTGATGGAGGTATAGTGGAGGAATGTGGCTCTTTATAGACTGGCGACAGTGTTTTATGTTCCTTGTACATTGGATAGTGGCTCATAAGTGATAAATTGCCACTATATTTAGGCTACTGTCAAAGGCTACTTCCTCAGTTCTGTTCTGTACCCCAAAACAGAGTGGCTTTGTCCTAATTTCCTTACCCACACTGCACAACTGTTTATAACTACATCATAGCATCATAGAAGTTATTTGAAAATAAGCTTAAAAAAGAGAGACAAGAAAGTAAAAATCTGATTATTTTGTGCTCTATAATTATTGTAATAAGCAACATTGAATCTGAGTACTTATTTACATACACAAAAATCGAAATATATCCATATAAATCCATGTTATATCAGATTGTGGCTCTAGAAAGGCAACAGCATGCAAGCCTCATGGTGACTTAGCATTAGTTTGCTGATATGTTAATATGAGATCCTCATTTGTTAAATATATAATCTAGGAAATTGGTGTAATTGCTGCTAATTTAATTTCGAATGTGCGCCCGCTGACATTTTTCATTTCTGTCAGCACATTTTTGTTTTCAGAGCTAATGTCATGCATTGCTTTTTGCCGGGCGCTTTACCATGAGTTGCTGAGTTTCAAGCAATCTGATATGATCTTAAGCACCCCCCACCCCTGCCCCCATACATAACTAAGCTGCCACCACTACCAGTGAATCAGCAGTTTAGAGAACTCTAATTTCTTTCCCCAAAATTTTAAGCCATTTATTTTTCATGTATGCTATCAGTTTCACAGATAATATAATATATTATTTTTGTTATTTTCCTCTCTGCACCTTGACATTTATAATAGCCTACTCCCGCTGTTTGTGTTTGTTTATTGTTAACAGCGCAGGAGAAAATCATTATCACTACACTCTGTGACTTATTTATTCAATTCAAACATTCTGTCTTTGCTGCCCTGAAGAACAAAGCATATTTAAAATCAGACTGTGCTGTGTTTTGGATTTAGGAATTTATTGGAGAATTTCCATCTTGCAGGTACTCATTTCCTTAAAAAGAAAAAAAAAAACGCCAATACCAGTAGTAAGCATGTCCCAGAATTATATTTCTAAATATAGCAGTTCTGTGTAATTTCCCTTTGGGGAAAAAAGATGCAAGCACGTTATTAAGATGTTTTATTCATGGTTATAAATGAAATAGTTGAACTGTGATGATATCACAGTGCTCTGCCTTTGAAACGGAGCTGCATTGTAAGATATATATTTATAAACATGGCAGTCTCAATCCTCTTAGTATCAATTATGACTGAACCAATGCTTTGGTTCCCCCTTACTACACGCAGCGCCATCTTCTAAAGATTTCCTCCAAACATTTCTCCCTCTCTGAAGCTGTGATCTGCAGGGTGCTTGGGTATACTTATGCTAGGGAAATGAATATCAAATAAAGTGATGCCTAAGTGGGATGTTGGAGGTTTCTGATGGTCTGCTGACCACGATGCAGCGAAACAATGCTGCAATGCACGTCAAATAAACGGAGACCAGGTGGATCGCAGCTTTCATGTGAAGCAGTGAATATTAGACAGTTAATGTCAGTAAGGCATTTTGGAGAGTAATCAGACAACACCATGTTACCACCATGTTGTTTTCTGTATTCTTAAACCATCTGTCTGAATTTCCTTGCAGCTTCACTCAAACTCGGATAAGGGCGATGGATCTGTCAGGTACATTCTAAGCGGAGAAGGAGCTGGAACTATATTTATCATCGACGAAGTGACGGGAGATATTCATGCCACCAAGAGCCTGGATCGGGAAAGGAAGACACATTATGTCCTGCACGCACAAGCCTTGGATCGCAACACGGAGGAGGCCCTAGAACCAAAGTCGGAATTCATCATCAAAGTACAGGACATCAATGACAATGCACCTACATTTCCAGACGGACCCTTTGTAGCTACGGTGCCCGAGATGTCTGAAGTGGGTAAGTAGTGCTAAGAAATCAACTGGACCTTCAAATTATCGCTCTGTCATATGTAGCCTTCGTTTGAATAGGTTAAAATATGAAAAAAGGACTGTTTGAACTTTTGCAGCTTTTTAGATTTTCTTCATTTTTTGAAAAAAAGTACTGTTTATGCCTGCGGTAAAAAAAAGAACATCATTCTAAGACTTCTGACTTCAATCCCTGTTGGTGATACACAAAGACTCATAACCAAACCTAACAGCAAGAAATCTGGTTTTAGTATAAAGGACCGACGATCAAACATTTATTACCCTGTGCAGCTTTTTTTGTGTGTCTTCTCTGTGATAATGTTCTTCAGCATGTTTGATCTTCAGTAAGCCAGCTGAGCCCTCTTTTTCATCTGCTTCCTCTGGTTGCTGTTTTGCTTTCCCTCCCGGGTGGGCAGGTCTTTATAAAGCACTCAATAGTGCCTCAGCAGCAATCCCTGCCACTGAGACTTCCTGAGTCCTCCACATCATGGAGGAAAGTAAAGCCTCTATCCACCTCCACCGAGACAACTGCTCAGCATCATGTGGCTAACATCTGAGTTTTAAAAAAAAAAAGTATTTCTTTGTTCTATTTTTTTTTCTCGCTGAACAAAAGTCACTATTTTCTGAGTCCAGTGGATTCTGCTTCACCGCAAGTAGATCAAAAGTATGAAGCTCTAATATTTGAAAATGATATGTAGGAAGCCCCGACAGTGGCCAAACTGCCATCAGAGGGGTTTTATTTCAAATATACTGTCAGATAGAAAAACTAGTGGCACTGACGATCTCTTGAAAACATGTAATTTGTTTATATCTGTGTGACATAAATACCAGAAAAGAAGCGACAATATATAGGAAGAAAATGCAGAAAACTTAAACATGCTGACCCCATTACATCTGTATCTCCCTGGTTGCGTTAATGAATAATCGTTTGCAGACAGGCTTGGACCAAATACAGCTTCAATAAAATAATTTCACTTCCATCTTTAACTCTAAACAAATATCAAACTGGGTGGGGAAAATACAGTGGAATCAGTCTCTGTATCGGCATCTTTCGGTGAATTTTGACATTTTTTCTTATTTCAAAGTTTCACCCCAAACCTCACATCAGTTGAACAAAAAGAATCAATCATAGTTGACCCAGGGGGAGAAATCAAAGACTGTGAAGGGGGAAATAATTAGCTTTCTCTTTTTTTTTTTTCACCACCTCTTTTGCTCATGTCCATTAAAGTCATTCCTCTTTGGTTGAACGTCTGCAGTTTCAAATTGGCTGAAACAATCCAGTGTCCTCACACTCCAGAGCTCTTTCCCCATGCAAACACACACACACACACACACAGACACACTTGTCAATACTGGGGCTCCCAAGTTTAAGAAGGGGCTGTCTTGTAGTATGAAAGCTAATTGGTTGTGATGTTCTTTTTCCTGTCCTAATTGATCAGTTGGTCACATGCCAGGTAGTTCAGCTGCCTCATCCCCTCTACTCCCATGTCCAGTCATAATTTCTTCTGCTGGAGCTCTCAAGGAGTTAACTTCTAGCTGTATCTTTCTCAAATTAGCAGAGTTAATAGAAATGTTACCCTGTCAGACATTGAATTAATGGGACGATCACAGTATAAAAGCTGTTTAAAAATCCAAAAGTGGAGAAGGGTACCTAATTAGTTCAAAAGTTAAGATGGAGTTTAGTTCTGCTGAGCAAGATCAAACATTTATTCTCTTTTGCTCCAACTGCTTAGACTCCTACTCCAAATATGCATGATTGATGACTTTTCTGCAGTGACTTGATCAGAGCGACTCTTTACTTTTACCCAAAGGGGACATCAACCATCTGCAAAATGTATTTTATTTTTATAGAGCTATATAAAGTTGGAAAAATTGGCATAGAGTCTTGAGACAGTTTGTAGACGGATGAAGAAAACCTGTAATCCATTTTCAGAGGCCAGGCTTGGTCTTGATTATGCATTATATTATGTGGTCACAGCACCGAGTCCAAAGAGGTCAGAGGAGATAAATGGACTGAAACTTAAAGTCGGTGGTAAATTGGGATGTAAAATGGAATACAGTGTGTGTAAGATCATAAAAGGAGCCTTTGATCTGAATATACAGAAATCTATGATGTTCTTGTAACAAATCCGGTAATTAAAAATCCAGGGTTGACTTTTTTTCTTTTTTTTTATTACATGTTGATTCTACAACAATATCCTGGCACTGTTTACTACTTTCCTTGGTTGACAGTTTTATGGAAAGTTGCTTTTTTCCAACGTAAAAACATTGATGAGACCTCTCTTTGACAACAAATACCTCGGTTACTAATATAATCAAGGTACTAAATGAGGTGCAGAGTTGGAACCTCAAATGTGGGATGTCAAAAGTACTTCAAAGACGTCTAGCATCTATTTTCTTTCTATGGTGCAGCACAGTAAAAATCAAGTCAATCTAGCTTTTCCATGTTTCTTTTAGATTAGATGTTGTCATGTTTATTTTTTAACTTGTGCTCTGCTGCAAGAGGAGAAACCAGGTTTTTGTGTGCTTGTTTATTACATTGACTTAGCAATCGTAAAAAATAACTCTCCCTAAATCATAAAGGACTATCAAGTAGCTAATGTTCTGAATAGGTCTTTGGCAGGCTTTTAGGATATAAGATTTAGATTTTTTTTAAGAATATCTCAACTGCAGTCAGCTGAGAAAAGAAAATCGATCTGTAAATCCATAATGTGGTTAATAAATCCGAACACCTAGTTATTTGTCATGAGCACATGTCATGAGTACTCTGTGTGCATAAATAATACCTCTATAATTCATAATGTAAATGATGTCCTGAGCTGTAAAATTACCTACAAGTAAAGACATCCGTGTGCACCTCTGCAGAAATGTCCAAAGGTGATAACTCTCCATGTGGAATTATAGTCTGAAGCATTTCCCTGACACAAAATAATTCTAGTATCGGAACTGATTTATTTCTTCCCTTTCAGTTTGGTAAATCTGTAAGGCCAAAGGGACCCACCTTGGGTTCCCTGTGCATGTGCTAGAAGACACATGCACAGGGTGTCTCTATCACCATCAGGCCAGGGTAAGATTGAAAAGCTCCAAAAATCCAAACTGTGAAGTAAAAAGTAAACAACAGCCTCAATACAATGAGTCAGTAATCGTGATGTTGTTGAACCTGCTCTAAAAATTCCCTGCAGGTCTACCAATTTCATTGCGGCAGAAATTAAGCACAACAAACACAACATCCGATTTAATAAGAGCGATGCTAAATGGCTTATTTAGTCTGAGAGTGCTGCGCTTGGCTTGTGTCTTTTTTAATCAAATGTATTCAAGCTTAGTAAAAACATTGTAACCTAGAAGAGTTTCCTTATAATAGTGTTGCATTGGGCTTAATTTTCTTGTAATTTTGTGAGAATCTGTTATTTTTTGTGATGTCACAAGTGAGAATATACATTAGAGGAAATTACTTTTTTTTTTAAGATAATGTTCAGCAAGTGCAAGCAGATACTTACGTTTAATGAGCACAATTCAAGTTTTTAATGTAGCAGTAATCACTTCAATAGCTCTAAATACATAGTACTTTAACACTTCAGTTTAAGTGCATTATGAAAGAAGCCAAGCACATTATACAGCCTATCAGGAGAGTATAATGTGTGTTATCGTCATCAAAATATGCAATATGAGCTTCTTAGTACAGTTTCAAACAGATAAGTAAAAACCATGACAGAAGGAAAAATGTTAATCAGTTATCTATGTTATAAATGAAAATCTAGTAATATATAGTAGAAATGTTAATCATGGAAGTCAATATTAACATTAATCAAAGTCAGATTTAGCCACTTAAATCCATCTATCAATCCATGTTCTGAACCGTCCATCTATCCATTTTCTGAACCACTTATTCCCAGATGGGGTTGCAGGGGGACTAGACCATATCCCAGTATTCAATGGACGAAAGGCAGGGTACACCCTGGATGACCCACCTATCGAACACAGGGCGACACACAAAGACAAACAACCATGCACACTCACACTCACTCCTAAGGGCAATTTGGAATTTCCAATCAAATAACATGCAGGTTTTAAGATGGTGGGTGGAAGCCGGAGAACCCGCAGAGAAGCCACTTAAAACATATTATGATTATTTGACTTATTTGGTACGAGTTCAGCCTCCACAGCAATCATAAAATTGATTAAGTCAAACTCATTTCCACTCAAATTAAGAATACAAGGGTGGTAGTGGTTCAGAGTGCACACGAGTAATGTGAGGTTTATGGATCATTATGGCCGACATTACACTCCTTCCCACCAAAAAATAAAGAATATGCTGGAACTGAACTGAGGTTCACTGGTTTGATGTTTTTTCACCACAAAAACGAAAATCTAGAAGATGTATCATACAGCTCATATCTGTAGTATTCACACTACAGTGCTTATATACAGTATACACCAGAGCATTAAATAAGCCTGTACTGCAATTACAAAGAGCTCATCATGCAATTATAATGGGTCAATGAGGCCTGTAATGCTATTTGAGCAACACTTCAAGTGTTAAATTGAACCACAACGACTTACACAGATTTGCTAAATAAATGTGAGCTTGAGGGTAAGTCCTCAGATCATTTGTCTTTGTTTTTGTCTTTTTTGTAATTAAAGAAATCAAGTAATTGAGCTATATTTTTGTGTGGGTTCAAACATCGAAAACACGTTCAGCAACTTCCATGTGGCTTGTATGACATGGAGAAACCGTTTCAGAGAGGCTGCGTTTGTCAGGAAATGATTTTGGCTGTGTTCATTTTTAGGCACATCTGTGTTGCAAGTCACAGCTACTGATGCAGATGACCCGACCTACGGAAACAGCGCCAGGATAGTCTACAGTATTCTACAGGGACAGCCATATTTCTCTGTGGACCCCAAAACAGGTGCGGTGTTACTGCATTCTCCACACTAAGCCCCCCATGTGCTTGCGTGTATGCTAACTGTAGCTGTAAACGGGAACAATGACTTTGCTGTTCATCTCTTAAAAATGGTGCGTAATACTGTAAAATATTTTCTGCATGAGCTCCTTTGCTGTGAGCATTCTGTTCTGTTATTGCAGCATTGTTTTTACGTCATAAGAGCTAAAGCAGCCCAAGTAATGTAATGGACCACTCGCACAGCTGCTATTCCTCTGGGGTTGAAGGAGTCATCTGTAGACATGTCTTTAAAAAGCCTTTGTTTTCAGCTTTCTGAAGAGGGGAAAGGAGGAAGTGCCTGATATTTAAAGCCCATCTTTTGTTTTAGAGGCCTTCTAGAATCTATTAAATGTTAATGAACCTTCTAAAATAAAAGACATCAAAGTTTCGCAGGACTTGAAAAATGTCATGTTGAGAGTGTGTGCAGGTCTGTGTCTAATCTGTCGTTATCTCACATAGCCGCGTGTCCTCCAGGTGCTCATGCGTATAAAGATTTACACGCTTGCCTGCTCTTCTGCTGTTGGTTAGCATGAACAAAAAATGTTCTTGTATGATTTGTTTCATTGCGGTCCGAAACAGCTATTTGGTCCCTTTGAGACCACGACGTCCATGTAAAACACTAATTCTATGTGGAAAAGTGACACAAATTAAATGCTGAATATTTTGACTTTAGCTCGAGGGAAAAGGCGGCCGGGGATTGATGGAACAACTTATCAGTGGTGTGGGGTGGAAGCACTGCCAGTTTTTTTAACAGAAACTGGGGCTTTTCATGCAACGCCGCACACATTGATGTGAACGAGATCCATTTCAGATCACGTTTTGACTGCAAAGAATGATTATTCTCCAGTCGCCTTTCCTCCATAAGCAGTTGGATTTTGGACACACAGACAGCTTGCTTTGCTTGAGCTGACTCGGCATCATGTCTGCATCGTAATTGGGCGAGGGGCGTGCGGTGGATAGGGATGCGATCGAAGGCCTGGCCAGCTGCACTCTACACAGCACTATTCCTCCCACACATATTAATTTGTACAAGTGGGCTGTTGTTTTTGCCATTGGCAAACCACCCTCTTCCACTGAATTAGGACAAGGACCTCCAGTGGTCGGTCGAAAACATGCACATAAAAGCGGCCTCACTTGAAAATGATCTTTTATGTGCAAGGCTCAGGTCCTAAAGCAGTTTTGCTGGCGTGCCGCCACACTCGAGCACTTCACCGGGGAGATGAAGCAGCCCCTTCAGCTGCCTACCAGTAAATTAGCTTGCTTTCTCCTCCTCATATCCACATTTACCTGGATCCCATTATGCCTAAACTGCAGAGACAGTGGCGTGGCACGCTCTCACATTAGCAGGAGGATTAAAAGAACACATACACTCAAATAGGTAAACACCTCTTCCTCTCTGACCTTGGTTTAGGCAGGCTGAAAAAGCAGCGACAGATTTGCATGACCCATGGGGTAAAGGAAAAGATCATTAAAGGACATAGGGTAGTAATGGCCTTGGCAAGCACATATGGCACTGAAAGAATACGTAAGGGACTGCCACAGACTTGACCCAAATCCTCAGTAGGAAACAAAGTTAACTAACTAAGCTTGACAACATAAAATATAGCAACTGATTATATTCACAGAAAAATATGTTTTTGATGATCTGAAGAAGAAAGATTCTAATAGATGACACTGGCAAATCAATTATGGCTGCTGTGTCATTTCCAGCAGCACTCATTGAATATATCATTAGGTATTCTTAATCCCCGGTTAAATTAGATTAGAATCACTGTACCTAAATGTTTGTAATCAAAGTAAAGACAACCTGCACATGCTGCTAAAAGTTGTACCATGAGTCATTAAACCAATTGATACATTCACTATAATAAATAATATATTAAAATGATTTTGAAAGCTTTAAAGAGCAAATCATGAGCTCATTCCATTCTGTCAAATTCCTGTTTATCATTTCCGATTAATCGTGTTTCATCACCGCTTTAAGAAATATCTCATAAGGCAGTTCACATTGACTCACATATTAATGGGCACTATCACACATAGCGAGGAAAAGAAAACATATAACTGTTGAACATATTTAAAAGATGAGATTCCCCACTTTGTGTATCTTAAAAATACAAACCATTTGCAAATGAATCCAGCAAACTTTGGAATTTTCACAAAAGGCTAGTGCGATGTGTCTTTGTTGCACATTGTCGTGTTGTTCGTGAGAAAGGGAGATTTAATGGGGGTCAGAGTAGATTCACTTCTGAGCTGGCAGTAATCACAGAGCTAAATTTGCCTAAGTGTAAGTAAGATTTGGCGCGAACATAGACAAGTGTTGTCCCTCATCTGATTACCTAATGTTGGCATTTTATTTGAGGGTTTACTGATGTAAATATGTTATATCTGTTCAGTATGATAGAAAATAGGTTATTACATAGCAAGCATAGGCACCTAGTTATGTTTTAGATGCAATACGAAACCTAAGATATAGGAACTACTCCACTACTAGTGGAGAAAAAACTAACAAAAACAAAAATCCCATCCACTTAAAGTCACAATTACATGTACTGTAGGTTCCTATGAGACACAAACAAATGAATGCAGATTCTATGCAGCAAAGCCACATTAAAATAAAAACTGGACAGCTGATTTATGTAAATGGTCAGACTAAATGACACTGCTGTGCACTCTGGAGTACTACATGGTTTTTTTACACCATATAGTGTTTATGGTGTTTATTTTTTCATGCACACCCAATATAGTTGTATTTCTGCAGTTACAAATTCCCTTTCTTACAACACGCATATGGACAAAACAAAATTGCCTACTTGATCATCAAAATGACGAATTGAAAAGCAGGAAAGCATATGAGGTTCCAAGATCATTAGAGACAATTACCTTCTATTCCTTGGGCTTGTGTTGACATTATCTACAAGGACGATTAACACTGAGATGTGAATATTTGTTTTCTGCCAATTTCCGGGCAGATTTATCAAGGAACATAAAAAGGAAAGACAAATGTTTTTTTTTTAACTTGTTATTCCAAAGGTAACACTGAAAGCATTGTTATGTCTTCAGTTCAGGGCACGTGTCTGTTCCAATGTAATCCTGCAAACTTTACACTTCTACGAAAGTGTGAAAAAAACAATGCTGTTGAAGAACTTGCAAATTTATTTGAAAAATCCAGTAGTTTCTTCTGAGCAGCAAATTGGGGTCAAGATGCACACAAAATAATAGTTTTGTGTGCAGTTCCTGATCAAAATATGTTGTTTATATATATATACATATATATGTGCACAGACAATTGCAACTGGTGGCTCCAATCAAACCAATTATTATTTTTTTTCCCTTTTGTATTTTTATTCATACATATAATACATAATTTGCGTTGAAGACACAGGCTATATAGATGCTGTAGATTTCCATCCATCCATCCAATTTCATAACCGCTGATTCCCCTGGAATCATCTTGCGTGCTTCAAGCAAAAAAATAAAAACACTAAATATGGCATTAGAATTTACATCCAAACATTCGATCTGGAAGTGGTGTCAAGGACGCTTCTCATTCAGCTGCAATTTAGCTTGTTAAAGTGCATATGGAAAGAAACAAACCTGAGGGAGAGTGTAGTTTCACAAGAAAGCTACAAGTGCACCAGTCTCAAGTAAACACAGATACATAGTAACCCGATATAAACTCAAGGCACTAGGTACCCCCTGATAATCATAGACAAGTGAACACAGAACAATAGGAGCAATGATGACAAGCAGCCTATATGAGACCTGAGCCACAGCCACCCCGACTAACCGATTTGCTGCTCTCTTAAGCAGCGGTTGATTGTAAGAGATTGATTAGGGCACTGGACTGAGGCACGGGTTCAATCAGTCATGCTGGTAGGCTGGATGTGGAGCAAGTGAAGGCACCAATCATGAATTAGCGCTTTCAAATGCTCATTTGCATGCAAAATCTAAAAGCTAAAAACCATTTAACCAAATAAATAAATAAAAGAGAAAACAAGAGGTAGTCCAAACGCCACACCACAGGAGGTGCAGATATTTTTGCTGCTGCCAAACTAATTGAAAATGATCTGACATTGCCATAGAGCTTGCAGGTTTACAAGGTTTGTTTTTACTCACACTTTCATCCTTTTTCCACTCAAGTTGCCTGGTAACACAGCAAGATTAGCACTTCAGAAAGTCGCCCATTTGAGACAAAATGCAACATGGTATTTACTGAATAGCGATTGTGGACAAAA